AAAGGAAAAAACACATATTTCAAGTATAATCAAAATACTGTTTCCGTTTGCAAACTGCGAATATAAACTACTAACTGCAGAAAAATAACTACAAAGGCTTCTTTCCTAATTTCAAAATAATGGAAGAATTTTTTTGAATTTTGAAGATAAAGTTCATCAAAACATCATGATTATTTCGACAATTAAATGTTTATGGCTTGCTATTTGCAGGACACAAATAAAATTATTTTTACGAATCGTTAAAATTCCATACTTATAATTTATTTTTATAAAATATAAAATGCGACTAAATATAATGCACTATCCAGTTGTGTATAAATGTATTTTCAGAAGTGGTTTACAATTGATCATTGAATCCAGTGATCGGTGACATCAAATATAATAATGTAATGAAATTAAATACGTTGTTTATGATCATTTGTTTCAAAAATTTAAATGTACACATACATAAAAAAATCAAAGTCGCTCATTGATTTCCAAAAAATATAAGGAATTAATATTCTGTACCGGAAATAAAACATTCGTTAAAATTTAGATTAAAAATTGTATTACTATTTGAATAAAAGGAAAAATAAGCTTGCATTTGTAACTCAAGCTATTTAATCGTACCTTTTGTAAGAATTGCTATTCATGTTCATAATAAATCAATTCATATGTTGTGTGTGCGTTCTTGAATCTTTTAAATGAAACTCTACTTTTTTAATTATCACTGTACAATAATTTTCTATTTAAGTATTTATTTGCGTATTATTACTCAAGTCATTATTTCTTTGAGAAATTGTAAATAAGTAAGAACACAAAAAGTGCTTATGAGTTAAAAAAAAAGTGCTTATGCATTTTAGTAAAATTGAATTGATTATATCTTGCACACATTCAAGAAATAAGAAATGTAAATAAGTAAGAACACAAAAAGTGCTTATGAGTCTCAGCATTTTAGTAAAATTGAATTGATTATATCTTGCACACATTCAAGAAATAAGAAAAGATCCAAATTTCTAATAAATTATAGTCAAATTTCTTTAACCTCATTTTAAATTTAAGCTCAATTTTCTATTATATAGAGTTATTTCTCTACCCTTCTTTTGAAAATATTCCCGGCATTTTCAGACGCTCTGTTAAACGAAAAATGTCAACGAAATAACTTCAAAAAACATAATTAGTTCCTTTTATAATGCGTTTTAAGTACGTTTCATCATTTGAAAGAAATATGAGTAGCAGGTAAAAATACTTGAATCGAAGAAATATTGAAAAGATAATTAGTAGGTAACATGCACACATGATGTTTGTAAGATATGGGTGTAAAGACAATAGATTAATTGGAAGCAGGAAAGAGGAAAAATTAGCAACGCCTTCACCGGGAATCGAACCGAGGACCTCTCAATTACGCGCTGAGCGTGCAGACCACTACACCACGAAGGTTCGCTAAGAAGGCTGGAAAAATACCTTATATGGGTACAAGCTTTTCGTTAATGGCTCTACACTTAATATAATATAAGACTAATTACGTGAATGCTTAAAAATTCTTACTTGAATTATTTTTTTCTTATTCTTATGAAACATCGAAGTCTATAACATATTTTCACTTTTCTTACAGATTCACTTCTTCTGCTCTCAATTATAATAAGAAATTTCATTTATTATAACATACTGCCGAAATAAATCTTTATTGCCATATATATACATATATATATACATATATTATCCATAATATTTGTAAGGTACAAATAATTTGATGTCTATAAAGTGTACTATTGACTTCCGTAAAATGCACTTAAAATATCTCATTATCAGCATTGCTTCATAAACAATAAATAATCATATTAGTTATAAAATACAGTAGATTCGGTATTAATTGTGGTAATCCCGGGTACGATGTTCGTGGTTAACACAGAATCACGGTTAACCGACAGCAGTTAAAAATTACAGGAAAGAGATATAAACCGATATTATAGTTAAAACAATATTACATACAATTTACCTGTCTAATTGTTTGTGTTGGTAATTTTTTCCATCATTTACAAGAAACTAACTAAACTTTTCTTTATTCAAGATCCGGTTAATTTGCCCGCGCTGATTTGGGATTTGACTGGTTTTAACACAATTCTCTATTAGAGGCAAGGTAAATTTGGTTCTTGCAGTATGAGTTTTATTTATTCTCACAAATGCCAACCACGCAGTGAAGACTGAAGACAGTTAAGTCGCCAATTATTCTGCAATATGAAAATGGAGACGAAAAAATATGGTCTCAAGTTACGTTCAAAAGCTGTATTTAGTGGAACTGTTTTAATTTCTTTAGGAAGCAAAGCAACAAGATATAATGAAAGGTTTTTAAAAATGTATTTAAAAACTATATAAAGAACAAAAGAAGATGTTCCTATGTATATTCTTCATATGTGCAATTACGATACTCTATATATGTTTAACTATTTAAATCCAGATCCCTGATAAACTTAAGACTGAAGTAAAAAATAATCCATTACAATCCTACATAAGTTCTTCAGAAAAATAAATTAAATGGCCTTTTATCTAAAAACAAATAAAATGTATTATACTGAGAGGAATTACAAATTGCTTGAGATTTGAATGATAAAGAAAGCTGCTCCAAATTCTCGGAAATAAAAACGCAACAAAACCTAAATTACATAGAAAAAGTAAAATCTCTTAAAATAAATTTAATGAAAACGAAGAGTCATTTCTCAACTGAAATCTATCTTGCCTTGTTAGAGTAACTTTCTCGTAATTTATCAAACATAACAAAAATAAATATTACAGTGGCAATTTTATCAAAGATAAAATATTCCTAAAATGTAAAAAGGGAAGTCTAAAGCTTAATCTGGCTCGCAAAATAGGAAATCATGAGTAGTGATAAATTTATCCGTGATTTCTTAAATTTAATCATGTTGTTTAGCAATTTTCACCAATACTGAGGACAATGTCACTTAATAAAATTGCCGGTAAATTGTAATACTTGAAACTGTCTCGCTTTACTTTGTTTATTACTTAACTCCACATCAAAGTAATATGAAACAATTATTTTGACAAACAGTACAAAAGTACAGTTTTAAAATATTTTACATAAAAAGAGTTACTGTACTTATCTTAGTTTATTCAACTTAAACTAACGTAATTCCTGCGTTTCAATTGTAATTCGAATCTGAGCCCACGTTTTGTAAGGTCTGAACGATAACACTGTCTAAACGATGAATTTCAATTCCCATTTAAAGTGTATCTTAATATTTTCTACTAGATTAATATTTGACAAAGTACATCCTTTCAATGTCTATTAATTCTTTTAATTTTGATTATAGCTGCCCAATATAGAAATATACATTGGCAAAAAATATTTCAGACGAAATTAAGGATGTGATAATTTAATACAGATATGATTTTTTTTTATTCGCTGTGTTCATGTGAAATAAAAGCACTCGCACAGATTCACAAAAAATAGTTCTCTATCAGGGTAGAGAATAATGCCTCGCACCTTCTTTCTATTCAGAAAAGTATGGTCTTGTAAATGACATTTGGTCGACGATCTGCCTAGCATTTCTTTCTGTTTGGAACTAGATAGAGCTGTACGCATCCTTCGAAATTCCTTTAATTTTTGTAATACTCGTATTTAAGTTTCGATTAAAATCTATACCTATTATCTCCTTGCACAAGTTCGTCCTTATCTATGACATCTCATCCATGGATTCATCATCGTATCAAGACCAATTTTTCCGTTAATGGGCAGAATATCATTGCTTTGCTAAAGCGTGGTTCCTGAACTCGTTTGTTATTGGGAAATTTCAAACATTTTCGTGCGAAGATCATTGTTTTCAAAGAAATATAACTGAGACATTTTCTCTCTCAAATTTCTCCAGTACAACTTGTAATTAGCGTTTATTCTTTCTTATCATACTTTATTTTGATCCTTATTTATTACTAATTTCTTTTCATTATGGGTTACTGAGGATTGTTAAAGAATTAAAGTATGAAACTGATGCCTTTTTCAGTAGATAATCTTCCCGACTGTATCTGAGTGCTCTATAATACCGGGATTACTGATTATTTCTGCAGCACTTTGTGTCGTAATAAATCCAAAATCTCTTAATTATCAATTGCGAAAGGAGAAACTAGAATGTCTTCTCGTTTACTAAGTGGGATTTATTAAACTGTTTTGATATATTTGGACTTGGGGAATTGCTTTGAGAAGAATGGCTTAGAATTTTATCCATATTGATTGTTATAGTTGTTAGGAAAGGAGATATAGGAAACTGTTTTTAGGGAAAGAATACAGTTTATTTAAATAGTAAGAATCATGCAAGTAAGTAATGTAAAAGATATTTTTAATTTTGTATTCACGTAATTTAAATAAATTAATAGTTTATAGCTATAGCAGTAATAGCAATAAAAATCTCTTCTTTAAATAATATAAGCATGGATGAACATAAAAAGTGGACCTTGTTAAATTTTATCACAATTAAATATGTTTAGGAATTTATAATTTTATTACCAACTGTTAAGTTTAACTGTTGTAATTAACGATATTTTCTTTTAAATTATTTAGTAGTTTTAGAATTTTTGCAGATCAGTTTTAGATTAGAATTACAGTGCACTTATTATATCAGGTTACAAGAGAAAGCTTTATTTTTATATGCATTCGCTTCAATTTTTGGCAACATTTAATATGTGAATAAAGTACCAAATCTTAAAGGAAAACATACATGGATATAGCATGCCAGATATATATTTTAAATGTGTAAAATCTGTATGTTTGAAGGCAGCCTTAGATTTCATTTTGGGTTGTGTATTTTTATTAGTTTCTGTTTCATCAATGTATAAAATCTTGAAATGAATTTGTTACATTATTGATGTCCATAATAATGAAATACGTTACGAACAGTTTTGCTTGAGTATTGCATAAATTTGGCATTGCTGATAGTATGTGTAGTAATTAAAAGATCATTCATTATTGATGCAAACAACAGAAATACCGAATTTGACATCCAGAGACGAAGTTCTCTAAAATTGCAAAATTATATTTATTGCCTATGTATTTACAATGAAGCTTTGATGCTCAACATGAACATCTGATGATCGCAAAGAAAATTTTGGCACATGTGGAAGGTAGAATCAAACTTGAATTAGAAAACATACCCGCTGCCTGTGTAAGAAACCATAAACACCCCCAAAAGCGTAATGGCTACCATGCATCGTGATCACAGTCTCTTTGTTGTGAATAAGGTTTCGTTTGAATTGTCTGGAGATATCTACCATCTAGCAGCGTATCCGGCGATTCCAGGGTGGATGCCCATGTAGACGGATGGGTAACCATAGTGCCAGGCAGGAGCTACTGGGGCAATTGGAGCTGCTGCAAGGGGAGCCTTGGGTGCGAGAGCGGCCATAGCAGCGGCGGCAGCAGCAGTTTTTCTATCTACACCGGTATCTCCAGAAGCCTTGAAACCTTCAGGTCCAGCAGTATATTGAACAGTACGCATGTCTCCATTAGCATCGATATAACTGTAACTACCAGCGACATTTCCGCCAGCACCTGATTCTACTCTGCTGTGTCCGCCAGCATCTCCGGTGGCATAACCGAAATTGTAGGCTCCGCCGTGGACGCTCATGCCCATGTTGGCAGCCATGGCAGAAGAAGCCAAAAGAAGGGTAGCAATGATCTGCAAAGAAGATTGAAGCTATTAGCGAATTTGTTTTACAAACGCATGTTCATAAAATTATCAATTATATTTAAAACAGCAGTTTTGTTAATTGCTCATTTTGGAAAGCTTACAGTTCTTGTTCTTTGGAAACTTTACGTTTCTTGCTGTTAAAAAATATTTTTTTCTAGTTACTGTGCATATACACACTTATTAAATTAATACTTTTCACTTTAAAAATATTTTGGATCTTCAATCTCCTTGCTATGCAAATGGTTTGAACATATTTCTAACTTGCATGTCTCTCCAGTATATGTTGTTTCTTCCCATAGAACATGGAAAATTTTGTGTTATCTCCTGCATTAGCTAAAATTATAATTTATACTTCAGTTATCTCGTTTGATATTGCAAAAGTAGGATTTTCTATACAAAGGTTTTAGACAAACTACAGAACAATTCACATGAATTACATGAATAAAAATAAGCTGTGAGTGTTTATAGAAGCGGTATCATTTTGGAGTAATGAAGAAAAATATACGAAACGCTTTAGCAAATTTTTGTTTTAATCCTTGAATGCTAAACGAAGTATTATTAAATATTTTATGTTTTCTGCAAACCTTACTTATCAGTTGTTACTGATTTTCGTGTCAAATTTTTATATAATCAAGAAACTTGAAACACCTTACATTTAGGTATTGGTGTTTCGTATTTGAACAAATAAACAAGTACTTATCAATCTTCAGGTTAAAGAATACATTTATCACCATTGTATTTTAATATGAAGTAACAACTGAAAATGATGTCTAAAAATTTTTCGGATTCTGGATTTAACTTTTTATTAGTCCAAAGGGGCTTTGTCACTGAAGGACTGTTGTTTTCATTTTGCGATTTTGAATCACTATAAATGTCCGTTTAACTTTTCAAACTGTTGCACCGAATGTTAGAGTCCTGCATTATATTTAAAAAAAATTACATAATGAAAAATCTGCATAAATGTTTGTATATTTCTCGCATTGTGATAAAATAACGGTACACAGAGCCATCGAATTTTGAATGACGTAATCCTCCTACGAATATAGGCATGTGAAAGACCAAATTTGAAATTTGGAATTTGTTTTATTATCAATTTCATATTTTGTAAAACTTTAACGAATTTTTCATTAACAAACTCAAGGGTCTCAAAGCAAGCAATGGCGACACTCTACGGGGCAAAAAAAAACCTTTTTATCTCCAGCGCCGCGGAACTGTGTATCAGAAATTCTAAAGATATGCTCATTTTAAAATTATTTTGCGACATTGCTCTTGAACTAAATTTTATAGTTTAAGTGCAAAGAACATGATATTTAATAAATAAAGGTAACAAACGAAACTTTTAAAAAACGGCCTTTTGAATATGATTTAAAATCTGAAACCTTTCAGACTTTTTTTCTTTGTTTTCCTCAGTCTTATTTGATATTTTCATAACACTAAAAGAATCAAACCTTTACTAACATCTAATTTCTATAGCTTTTCTTAGAATAGGAACTGCACTGCAATTTTAAAATATAATGCTTAAGACTACTTCGTAGGTTATAATACTTTTAAAGAATGCTAAATTATAAATTCTACATTTGTATATAACGTATGCTTATATAATTATATTTATAAATATATGTGTAATGCAAAGTATTGCATTGCAAAAAGTTTCACGTTGCACTACTTACAAGTTCCTTCATACAAATGGGGGGCGTCACTTGTTCTGCTCTAAGACCAGTTTATTTCATTTATGGCACTATAAGTTGTCCATGTTAAACTGACATCATAGATTTTCTATTCCTGACAGTTTATGCGATAAAGATTATTTTAAATATAATTTTTCAATTTTAATATAATTCTTATTCAGTATTATCCTATACTTTGACTAAGTGCGTTTTGAGTACATTTTTCCAATACTGAAAATAGATATGTAATCCAAATGCAGATAATATGGATTGAATGGTGGTGAATTTTTCAATATCTAAATGAAGATAATTTACTATTGATATTCTGAAACTACTTGTTCAGCATCGTGAATTTTCTGTCTCACGGTCATTATTATGCTATTTGCAACTATATTTTTATCCTTCAGATTTATAAAGTAAAAAAGAAACTTAATGTAAAGTTATTCATATTTTTAAGCATATGAACAGACTTTTAAGTTTATAGTATTTTGTTTAAAATTACTTTTTGCAAGGAAAGATATTCAGACAAGATTAAATAAAATTGCTATTATAAGGACTGCAAATTTATATTAATAATTATTTCAAATATGAACTCTATTTGTAGAAGAAACTTCATGTTTCTAAATTAGTTCGTTGTTAGAAATTTGCAAATAACACCCAGAATTTCACGATTCTGTTCTAGTAGTCAGAAATGGAATAACTACTATCGTATTTATATAGTAACATTTTGAAATACCCGAAACTGCAAGCGAAGGAGATATTTTTTAATACTTTATAAGCCATGCAAAATATCTCTAGCTGTTATCTCTCAGTTTTAGAGTTTTCTAATAGAGAAACTTTCCAGAAGTAAAACCAAATATTAGTATGGTGTATCACAACTGTTTTTTAAATGTTCTTTTAAAATAGTCTTTTATTACATACGCATGCAGCATGTGGTTTGCTAATTATTTCTTTTATCTGTATATTAGATGATAAATTAGAAGTTACATGATTCTCTAAAGAACAGAATACGTAACGTCGGATTTAATTTCTTAACTTCTGTTTTTTCCACCTTTATATTTAAGACTCCAAAAGCAGTAAAAACTAAAATCGCGAACATAAGGAACAGACACATCTAATTAATTTGAAGGTTTATGATTGGGGGGTAGTTTTGAGCGTTTTACATTTTTTGCCACACTTTTGAAATAACACAGCAGCAAGTGAACACTATCAATTCTACCGCTTTTAGATCTTGTGCAATTCTAGTGCTCTTTTGCGATCCAATTATAATTACCACGTAATTTTAGTTAATTTTAATTTTTCGTTTAAATGGCTTTTTTCTGAAACTACTTTATTCTGAATGCGTTCTATTTATAAGTATAGGAAGCTAATGTTAACATTACAGTGCGCTTGCTAATAAGAATTTGCAGTCTCTTATTAATAGCATAATTAAAAATTTTTATATTACAGTTTCAGTGCCATTAATCTAAATCTTCTGCATGAAGTTTAAAACCGAATTCGTAGTGAGAGAAAATAATTATTTGGCTACCATAAGTTGAGCTTTCCTTCCAAAAATCGAGCGAATCTACGAATATGCAACCTCTGGTCAATTATGGAAGATGATCAGCATGAAAAATTGCTAAAGGTAACATAAAGGTAAGAATGGAAGTAAAGGCTGGAAAGGAAAAGTAAATAATTCTAATGTACTAAACTCCTACTTACGAATCTCATGGTGCTGTAGGTGCGAGAGGTCGAACCGAATGAGTTGAGTGATTCTGAAGAAGACCGCTTCCTCTATTTATACCCTTATCATCCTCGGCATCCCACTTACCATCCGACGAATCTCAAAGATGCGGAAGGAAAAACTTTCATGGCCATTAAAGCGCAGAAAATGCTAAAATCATTTTGGGTGACAAAAAAGTACGAAGGGAGGGATAATTAAAAAAAAAAAAAAGTTTTGTTTTATCTTATGGATGAAGAATGAAGTTAGGCGTGGTCATCACCTATTGAGGTCAGGAAAACGCTTCGACAAGTCCATCTGGTCGACCTTAAGCAGATACGGTGGGATCTGGGTGATATAATTAGCGTCGTCCTTCCGAACGCTTCCGCCGCCCCAGGCTGCGAACTAACGGTTCGGTTTCGATTTTGTTGTCGTTGCTTCTCTGATGTAATTGGGATGTTGGCGCTGATGGGGTGAACGAAGTGGCGATCTCGTAATCTCTAGAAACCTTGGAAACTTATTTTTGTGGATTGTTTTTGTTTTCTTTTCCCTGTTCGATATACTATCACGTGCATTTCGTTTTAAATTTTCTTTGCATATTTTAATCCAGGAAGTAGGAAATAAGAGGGTTCTGGCAGGACCGACATTGAAATAAGTTAATTGAATCGACGTTTTCTTTGAACGGGAACATAGCCTAAATAGAATTATTCTTATGTCCATTTAAACTTAATGAAGGTTAGTTTTAAAACTTCTTCATTCCTCTAAATCTAAATACAAATAGATTAAAACCGTAAACTTCGGTTTGAAAAAGCTTATAAAAATATCGTTTTCAGTGTTAGTTAGTATGTAACAGTGAATCACACTCTTTCATAGAGGCTTTTAAAACTGTCGCTGAGTAAATCAAGATGAATATTGGATCTAAAAGCAATTTTAATGCTCCGAAGTACTGTATAACTAATAGTTAATACATAAATTTGTTTTTAGTATTATTATATACTTTAGCTGTTTTGTATTAAGAGATATAAATACGTTTAAAAAATATAACCTACGTACTTCAGATGTGTTATCTGCATATTGAGTCAGGGCAAAGGTGAATCACTTGCTGCCAGGTGCACGGTAGAGAAAATTCGAAAGAACTGTTTTCAGAGATAAATTGAAATCTTAAAATTCAGCCTAAAACGACACCGATAAGCACACTTCTAGAAACATCACATTTGAGCGATACAAAGCCTACTGCATTTTTGTCTGCGAGTTTCATTTATCGGTGCTATATATGGAAAACTTGGTTTTCATTTATCATTTTTCTGCAGTCATCTGCGCTGGTAGCAAAACAGTAAAATCGCGAATACAGCTAGTTCGGCATAGTTCAAATCCTATACGTGAGGGTTTTTGTAGTCACCCCACCCCGTGTAAATGAATACGAGACATTTTGCTGTAAAATGTTTTCCACGAAAGCATCTCTTTCCTTAAGCAGATATTCCATGTGTTTTCTTTGCTAAATTGTAAGTAATCTCAACCGGAGTCTTTTTAAACAGTCTCAACAGTCACCATTTAGTTTTCAGTTTACTCTGCATATATTCAAAGCAATAAATAAAAAATTACGTAATTAACTGATTTACATTACCAATTTCTCTTACGAATACTTTATGCAGCTGCGCAAGAGCGAAATGTATATACATTTTTTGCTCTTTATGTTTCAGAATAAAGTTTACTGCTGAATGAGATTTATGATTGAAGTCTCTGATGTTCAGTTGTACTAATTTCGTATTCGAACTTGTACAGTCAATTATACTTACGATTATTGTTGAAACTTGTGTAATCATTGTTGGTTGTTAAACAAATCGCACCCTAGTTTCATTTCTCCCAAAATGAGTATACTGTTTTATGGATTTTAATTTGAAGACGTTAAATCTCAAATTCACGAATAACGAAAAAATCAACTGTGCATCATTGGAACGGTAACACTAGATAGTCTTTTGATATTTTAATGAATGTAATTAATCATATTTTAAGATAAAATTTTCTACACTTTTAATATTATGTATGTATAAAATTTAAATAAAATTGTTTTTAAGACTGTCAGGAATGGTAATTTATTTTGGAGAGCCACTACAAATTTTATTTGAAGAATCACTTAAGGAAAATATATCTCGTCATGGAAAAGAAAGAAACATGACTTTTTTTTTTTTTTTTTTTTTTCTGAATTGTTTTGTTGTTTATATGAAATAGTAAATAGTGTTTAGAATCAAAGTTCAGGGGCAAAAATTATTGAAATTTGTCTTGAAAAAACTAGGATAGAAGGTATTTTTCCATTCTTCTTAGCATGCCTTCGTGGTGTAGTGGTCAGCACGCTCGGCGTGTATTCCAGAGGTCTGTGGTTCGAATCCCGGGGACGGATTGCACATTTTTTATGTCTCCTGCTTCAAAAAATATATAAGGAGATATATAATGTATAAGATGGAAAAGTATTTTTTTTTCTTTTCTCATACAATAGTATAAGTATTATTTCAAATGATGCCTTTTGAATTAACTAAAGAAATCAGTTTTATAAATATCATTAAGAATCGAATTCTTGTTCTTAGTTCGAATTGCATAATATCCAATGCTAAGTCCTGACTGATATTTGCGATATAAAGAAATGTGCATAATTCACGCGACTACGCACGCAGCAAGATAAATTAATACAATGGGTATCGCTTAATGTGATCACTTTCGTACACGACTATTTTCATACTATTAAACGAATGACAGCATTAAACAATAGCAAAAATTATCCTTCAAATAACAATGGAATTTAACTAATTTACATAAAATTGTCAGGAAACATATAAATAGTATTTTCACAACATTTTTAATTAGGAAAATGCAAAAACCTGTGAACTGTTTATGATGCAGAAATTTACTTATGAACTTCTTTTATTTTTAGAATGTCTCTCATTGGAAGAGAGCATGAAAATGTAAAATTTTAAATTAAGAAAAAAAAAAAAAAAACTTTAGATTTTTATAGATGTTTTACAAGGATTTTTTACCTCCATGTACGAAGTAAAGGAAGCATTGTAATGATAAGAAATTCCGGGTACCATATTTCAACGAAAATAACCATTTTGACTGCTATCGAATGCGATTTAACGATGTTTTTGCGTGATATCTGTTTATATGGACAGAATAAAGGACTCTTTTTCCCGAAATGAATTATAAAGTTGATTTAAAATGGATTCAGAAGAGTTTTTTTTTTGTGGCGTCTGTACGTTCGTACGCACGTAGGTATGTATGTATGTATCTCACATAACTCAAAAAGGAGTAACCTCAGAAGTTGAAATTTTGTATGTGAGACTGCTATAACGTGTAGATGTGCACCTCCCTTTTTGGTTGCAAAATCGATCGCACCAAAAGTATATATATATATATCCACTCTGTTACTCGGCTCCTTTTTTTTTTTTTTTTTCATTTTTATATGTTAGTAAAATGTGCATTTTTTGTTTTAAAGATGATTGAGTTATGTTGTTCTTATCTTCCGGTTAAGGATTTCATGCCTTTAGTTAACCTGCATGTTATAGTTATAGAAATATCAACAGTTTAAAAGCTGTTTAAGAGCGGCTAAGCCTAATTTTTTAACCATAGCAACCCTATTTGTTTACATTTGAAACTTATCAAAATACTGGATTTGTTGTCAATCTAGAGAAACTAAGCTTTGCAGCAACAAGATAAGGTCTTCTTTTATTATTGCAAATTAAATCATGCTTAATCAGTTTTGGAAATATCGTTTAAGTTATTCAATTATCTCATATACTGACTCAGCTTAGCGTCCACAATAAATTCAGTTTCTACGTCTTCAGCGTCTTTTTGCCAATGGAACGAAAAGGAAACGTTTAGTTCTGTGCACCGAAAAATCTGCCTTTCTGCCTGCTGGCGAAATATCTTCTTTTTGCGCTTACGCACAACATTATGATAAATTTATAAACGAACTTCTGCATTTTCCTAATTAAAATGCTGTAATGTTTATATGTATTTGTTTCTAGTTATATTTATATTAAATTATTAAAAATACATTTGCTGTTTAGAAGGATATTTTGTCTCATCAGTTAATGTCATTAAAACAGGTGTGGACAGACATAGTCACAATAAACAGCATTTACTGTATGTTGTTCTATTGCTCCTCTACTGCTAAACCCCTCGAAAGGACTTTTGCCTCGCCATTTATTTAGAGTTCTCCCATGCGGTGAAGACACTATACATTTACAAACATCTATGCCTTCTGTAAAGATCGTGACTTGTAAAGATCATGACTTATAAAGATCGTGACTTAAAGAGAACGTGAAATATAAATAATAGGACAAAAACTTGCATTTTACGGTGTGGCAACAAGAAGAGGATTCGGAAGCTTTTTATATATTTTTTTTAGAGAGTTTAAGATTTGGAGTATATTTTAATAGTTATAAGAGTTTTAACTGTAGTAGTTAAGAGTTTAAAATTTTGATAGTTAAGAGCTGCAGTATTTATTTTTTTTTTTGGTTCTGGTTTAAAATTCAAATAAAAGTATTTTGTTCATTCTGAGAATTTAGCTTTATTCTTCCTACAAGATTCAATATTCATTATATTGAAATAAGGAAAGGATTTTTACTGGCGCAGTCGACAGGATCGGGATTTCCTCGCATATAATTACGAACCAAAATAACTCAGGTGAGAGCTCAATTTACCTTGTAAACGTAAAATAATTAATTAAGATTATGAAAAGTTAATTATTATTTCCGTCATGGAATCTTAGTTTATTTACTTGTCAAAGTAATGAATACGCTAGTGTTCAAGTGTAATTTCGTTTGACTTGCCAGAGTAGGTGAACAACACATTAAGTATTGATTCCACTGATTGATTTTCGTGCCGAATAAAATTAAATTCATTGTAAATTATATTTAAATAAAATTTTTTTTTTTTTTTTTTTTTTCTCCCGAGACATGGCTTTTATGGGACGTGGGAAAAAAGAGGATTTGCTGGCTTTAGCTGTTGAATTAGAAATTCAAGTAGATCCAAGTATGAAAATCGTGGCGATAAAAAATGAAATAATTCAAAGTGATACATATGATGAAGCATTTGCTAAAGAAGTGTTTTTAACGATTATTGAAGAGAGGAAAAGAAAAGAAGAGGAACAGCGAAGAAAGG